ACTTAAATTAAGTTTTTGTACACTTTTAAATTAATAAAAATCAAAGACAAAATTATAAAATTAATTTTAAAATGAAATAATATATTTTTGTACATAAATTGTACACTAATTGTACACTAATTGTACAGAGAAGTGCTTAATTTCTTCCATCTTGTTCTTCTGCTTTCCTTGACTTCGCTCCTTTTTTGATTCTCTTTATGCGCCTCCCTTTATTCCATGCAACTTTATACCCCATAGTACAGTATGTTAGGAGATATTCAATTAAAAAGATTAAAGGTTTCCATTCTTGTATTGATTTTCTTTAGGTAAAACACTCGTGAGTGTGGTGAAGGCTAGGGACTTTCCAGTAGAGTCGGATGCTAACAAGCTTGTTAACTCATGTTGCATAAGTTACAGAATTGACGAGAAGCCTATCGCTTTGGGGGCTGATGAGTAATTAAAATTTTAAGCTTACTTTTTTAGGGACTATCCCGCGTGGTTGTGGAACTTGCACGTAGACAGAAAGCCAAGGCCTATTGCCGAAATTGACATAAATTCTTATGCATATTGGCGAAGAATCAGGAAAGAAACATTGAAGTATTGGAACAGCCTAGCAAAGATAGATGGGTGGCATAGGAAGGATCACAAAGAAACCTGCAACCATGCTGAAAAATTTTATAAAGAGTGGTCTCAAATTCTTAGACGCGATAGCTGTTGAAAATTTCATAGGGATTGTGTGTCTTTTGATTATGCATCTAGCTATTTCTTTTACCTTATTCTTGATTGAATATTCGGCAATTTCAAGATACATCCCTTTAAAATTGCGTGGGATCTCCCAGATCATTGTTTTATGTGCTTGCTTATTGCCACTTGGCTCTGATCTATAGTGCCTTAAGTATCCTGGCTTCATTAACTAAACTCCCTTGTTTATAAGTCGCTCACAATTAAAATATTGCCTTTTGGTGACTTGAGTATACTTTGATCGCAGGTCGCCTGGTGCCCCGTCTCATTATTGTAGTCTTGTGTCATCTAGCCATTTTCTTCAGTGTTTCGGTTTTGGGTTTATGAAATGCCTTTCTAAATCATATGAAAAGTTATGCTACCAAGTATTTACACTAGTTGTGCACTTGTGAGCATAATAAACAGTAAAAGTTGTACTAAATTACATTGATTATTGGGGGCATCAAGCCCTATGGCCATTTCTGTTGTTTATGGAAATCGGTCGAGATCATTTGCATAGTGCAGGTCGTGCTCATGATTATTCTCAAACTCTGAACTACAGAGCTTAGTCACGGGTACAGAGCAAGCTTCTATTTCCGCGATCGGCATATTTCTGATCATTTGATTATCTTCCTGCCTAGGCGCCATTATTTTGGTATCCCACAATCCAGTTTTGAGGTTTATATACTAACTTAATTCTGTGCTCCTCCACTTTACTGATTAGTTTATTATTCCAACGAAAGCTTCCACCAAGCACTAATAGAGCAAGCATTTCCCCTCGTTAAATGTATTTCATTGAAAGGCGCGGATGCCGGTCGCGGGTTCGTCACCATACTTTTGTTTCCTTTGGTATAGTGTGATCATATGGGTTTCATCTTGTCTCAGCAAATGTTTTTCTAAATTCTTATGTTTGTATATCTCGTGAGAAGTCCGTTTTAGCCTTCCTTTTGTCGAATTGAAGTGGAGTAAGTATATAATATCTCGGATGTCCTCGTTCTGATGTGTATTTTCCCTCACAAAACGGATGGTGACCATATTTGATTTAGATATGAAGATCATGATGTCGTGGCTCTGTTTGGTCGCGGTCTCCTTTATCTTTATAATGTTGGTTCGATCTTGTTTTCGCAACTTGTTTG